ATTAAAATTTTGTTATATATCTACTTCTTTTACTAAGTAAATGGTCTCAATTGAATCCGTCTCTAACACAACGTTTATCCAGCCTTTATCGCTAATTCGTGATAAACCTCGACACATGCACCCGTCTCTTTTTCTTGATTATAAACATTTGATAGATGTAACATACCAACATAGTTTCTATGCTAAATTAATCCGGGATGAGTATGGATTTACGACTCTGTCTAGTGTTTTAAAAAGGGTAAAACAAGATTAAATGGCAAGTCTAAGATTCGCGCCTAGATGATGGTTAAGCAAAGTTTTTAAAATACTAATTCTATCATCGTAGAAATTAAGTGTCTATCTAGTGGAAATTCTCATTTTAATTTATAGAGAAATTGTTACCGTTACTTTTCAGTTTGACAAGCATTTATGACAAGAAATCAGAGATGGCAGCCGCAATGTTGGACCAATTTAGGGTAGAATAACCATTTTGCTCTAAACAATTAAATCATTGTTTATGATAAATAGACAATTTATGTATTTAATTGGTAAATCTTCAGACATTGCTATCAACTTGAGTCCCATATACCAGTGGGTAACAATATGATAATTGCTCAAAATCAACAAAAAATCGCTACCAGACAGCACCTAAGAATCTATATTTCCTGAAATTCTTAAATAAAATCAGTTTTAAGAAGCAATATACAAATGGTCATAGATTGTCTCCACCACAAGATTGATTAAACAATTCCTATTAATTTATGTAGCATGAGATCTATGGGGGTTAGATCTTGGTCAAGATCGATGCAAGTCAATAATATCGTTTACTAAATTATGAAAAAATAATTATTCTTGATTGATTGAATTAAGTAGGACTAATTTAAAAAATTTTGGCCCACTTTGATAATACTTTTTTAATTAGAGACAGCAGAATCCAACTTCTCTCCCAAATAAGCAAAATTAACTTATTTTATAAGCCCGGTGTGCATTGAAACTTGAACAACTCTTCCATATCGGTTTAATTATTACAATGTTGTACTTCAAATATATGATAAGGATATGACATTTATGTCATTTCATTACATTAATTATACGGTATTAAATAAACAAGGGAAAAATTAAAATTATGTTAATAAATATTTCAATCTTCTTTTATATATAAAAATTATTTAATATCATTCAATATATCTAATCGAACACGTCATTATTGTATACAATATAGTAATACAAGATGTAGATATGTATAATTAGTCCAAATGAATATCATCATATGATGTTTCATACTAAAATCAATCATTCATTTTCTTCCATGCTTCTTTCGTAACTTGAAATCGATGAAGAAAATAGAGAAACACCTTACTTTAAGTACAATCTAAGCATCTTGAATTAAGGTACTTTCGTTTCATTTCATGGAAGTTTTTATTAAATATAATACCAAGTTGAGTACAATTCTTACTAGTTTTCAAATTCCACCGGGCCGTTCTCAAGGGAATATGATAATTACAGTCTGATTGGGAGTGATTTTCTGACCCAAAAAATTGATTTTTTGATCGTTATTTTACTATTTCAACCGTCATATTTGACTTCTTCTCTCACAGATAAATCTTATTTTTCTCATAGCGGTCAAAAAAATAATTCTCAAAATCACTCTCAAACAGGCTCTTAGTCTACTAATAAAGTCAAATACAGAAGCCTTTGTCTTTTCTTCATGTAAAAAAATTTATATAATATGAAAATTTACATCAACTGTGGTCTGGATTCCCAGCATATATACACATCTTTTGCTGTCAAGTTGGTTTAGTTTAATGCATGAGAAGACTCTAAAGTATTATTTAATTATTGCATACAGATCCCTTGGTACAAAAGTTTAGTGGAATGTGTCGATCGATGCGAATTATTATTGTTCTTTTTTTGCTTTACTGAATACATTGATCCAAATGCTTGATGTGATCACTATTTGAGGTGAGGGTATGTTTGAACTTCATTTTCTGGGAGAATAGATTTTTAATAGTGATTTTTTGGAAAAATGCATGATTAAAAAATATAAAAATAATTTGAATTTACTTATAAAATTATTTTATTTAAAAAAAATTTCTAATTAAAAATAAGTTTTAAAAAAATAAAAATGAGAATCAAACAAGTCGACGTTCTTTTAAACTGTTTCAACCCAGAATGGGAAGCATGCATACCAATCCTACATGATTTCCTATTTTCTTCCCTTTAAATTAGATCCATGTGAGCATACTGACGTGGGCTCCATTTGTCAAAAATCAAGAATTTGAAATTAACTTCACATTGAAAATATACTTCAAGTTCAATTAACAAAACACATACGTTTTTTATTTTTTTATTTTTGCGCCCCGGATCATAGTTCGGTAGTGTAAAGGATAGGAGTGAGGTTATCTCACGCCTTGTTGGCAGCCGCAGTGTGAGGGTTCGATTCCTGAAACATGAAATTTGACTCCTTGTAGGCGCAGTGTACAAACAGCTCTTGTTCCCTGACCTGTTGGGGGCACATCCCGAGATTTATCTCCCTCACAAAGCTCTAGGTACAGGGCGGTGGGGCCCCTCAAGATTGGGGTTTAACCTTTATTATTATTATTTAAAAAAAAACAAAACAAAACAAAACAAAACAACAAAACATGTACGGGTAAATTCCAACGTGAAAGTCTATCGATGACAAAAATGTTGAATTTAGGTGACAATGAGGTAAATATTTATTGTCCAATAAAATTGAAATGCTTAAAATTAATTGTACTCTGAGGGAAGCTCGATGTCACCATGCTAATCACCCGTGATTATATATAACATTATTCTATATATATATATTCAAAATAAAATTCCTAAAATATACGTTCAAGGTGATGTATCTAAGCAAAATCCATCAATTATGTTGACAAGGAATTCACCAACCTAGTCACACTAAATGATTTTAGATAAGCCAGTGCCCAATAGGATGGAGACACGAATTCGCCCTTATTGGAATTGATTGAAAAGAAATAATGGGTTGAAAATTAATTAATTTAAAGGAACCATAAAAGAGTGGTCTTTGTTACATCAAAATTCATTAACAATGATATAAACTTGGAATATTCAATGTCCATTTGCAATGGAATATCAAAGCAAACTTTATCTTTGAAGTGACCTCAAATGGGAAAATTCCAATCTTCTCCAATATGCATGTTTGCCGGCAAATCGACAAGTAAAATAATGTTCTTACACGCTTATTTGACAAATATAGCAAAATATACTATTAATAAACACGATCTTTTTTTTTTTTTTTTTTAGTGCACTTGAGAATATTCGGTTTTAAAAAAAAAAAAAAAAAATTGTTAAAAATCTTCTATGCCTGTACCCATCAATCTTGCCTACCTTGCATGATATTTTATACCAAACATGCTATATATACAAAATTATCCCATCAAATATTGGGAAAAACTTATTAGGATAGGGCATATGTGCATAAGGGATGGAACCCAAGTAACGAAAACACTTATTTCTTGTATTGTAGTGTCTAAACGATATTGGATATAATTAAAGACGAAAGAACTCAAATCTTGTCCATTGTACCTCTTGATTGTCATGGCTAACGAGGTCCACCCTAATTGGGACATCATATATATATATAAGCCATCCCATAAAATATCAGGAGAAACCTAGTGGACAGGGCATGTGGACACCATGGATTGTACCCAAGTGGTATATATATATATATATATATATATAGAGAGAGAGAGAGAGAGAGAGAGAGAGAGAGAGAGAGAGAGCGGTACTCTAATTAAATTCATGCATGGTTTTTCATTTTTTCCAATTGTTCACAGTAACACACATGCTGAGTCTCTTTGCCCATACCCACCATGTATCATTTGCACTTCCCAAACACAACAAAGAGCACATACCTCCCACCAGGAAGCACATGCTCCACATGCAAGTAGCTATATGTAGGTTAAACGTAGTAAAGTCGAACTCATATACACTTCCGACTACAGAATATCGGAGAATATCATAAAAGATATACATTGCATACAAATAAAGAACAATGATGTCATAGTCAGCGATAAGGTTGATCACAATTGAGTCAAACTCAGTCACACACACGAAGAATGGGATAATATCAGATCAGAACACACACAAACTCCAACATAAGCTTCAGTGTGATAGTGATACCATAGACACTGATAAAGAAGGCCAAAACAAGATGTGAGAGTCTATTCACTAGAGTTTTTAGTACCTGGCACTGATGAATTCTAGGGGCATGCGTTTTTTGTCTTCATGATTAATTGGGCTGTGGAGCTTTCCTATTCATCTCATCAAATGCTTATGTTGACCTGTCGACAAGTACTTGAAACGGAACTATTATAGTGATGCGCAGAGCACCAACAAATGGCTTGCATAGATAAGGGAGCATTCTACGAAGCTTATCAAGAAACCAACATATTCGATGGCCAAGTAATGACAGCGGCAACATAATGTATTTACCAAAATGGGAAAAAAATCAATGATTTCCTATAATACTAAATTCAGTGTTAAGCAGGTTTTAACACTGACTTTAGTCAAATTTGCAACTGTAATCCAAAAACTCGTATCAGCATATCTCAGACTAGAACACTGCAGTTCCCATCACATTATTTTGAACTCTAAACTACTATAAACCTTCAGGTTGAAAAATCGACTTCCTATTTTATGTATATTGCTGTCGAACCAAAAACAGTTACAGAAAAGAAAAAGAAAAGCTATAGAGTATTTGTACTTTTTACATAACTTGTTGCTTGTCACATGGACTTTTCACGACAAAAAGGAAATGGCTCCTAAGTATGTGCATAAAGGCAATGAAAGAGAGAATGAATCTTTTCTATTACCATTTTGACTATTACTGTTGTTAATGTAACATCTCTCTGCTGAATACTTGGTGGAGATCATATATATAGAAAAGTAATTCTCTTAGTTAATTCTAAAAATTTGACATTTATGTTCTCAATCAAACTGACACCATAGTTCTCCACAGTATAGCAATACTATCATCATGACAAAATTTTATTTGCCTGCAGAAGGACTCTTTTAATCTCACCGGCAATACCCTGTAAGGAACCTGGTTTTTGAATAACACCATTCATTCCTATTTGCATGCATCTTTCTCGCATATCTTCATCATCACTTGCAGTCAAGGCAATGATCAATGGCCAGCTGCGGCTACGAAACTTCCGAATTCTCATGGTTACTTCAAAGCCATCCAAGTCAGGCATGTGAAGGTCCAAAAGAACAATTTGATACTTATTTACCACAGGACCAAGAGTGCTAAGGCATCCGTATCCAGATGACACGGCAGAGACAACACACCCTAGCTTCTCAAGCAACTTCCGCGTCACAGCTCTGTTCACATTATCACCATCAACTAATAGAACTTTGAGGCCACTTAAAAGAGAGTCTGAATGCAGATGTTCTGAAGGTCCCCCATGTTCTGAACTGTTGGTTAATATGGATGGCCGGGTTTGGAACCGTAAAACAAGTGCTATGCTTTGATCAAAACCCTCTGGATTTGGTATCACCCATATGTCTCCTTGCATTAACTGCACATGGTAATGGGAAGGAAATAAATGATTTAAACATATAAAGAATCAAGACAGGAAAAGAAAGGGAAAGATAACTTCAAAAAATTATATAATTAAATACACAGATGCAACCTAAACAATCTCTTCCTCTATTACAATTCAGTGAAAAGTATATTGTCTTGCATAGATTTTATGTATATTTAAAAAAAAAAATATATATATATATATATATAT